TCTGGAAGGGGGACGGGAGAATGACGAAGAATATACGATGAAACCAAATAGATCTGACTAATACAGGAAAGACGAAATAGACTGACTGATACAGGAAAGACGTCATCCCCAACTTTTCTATAAGAACCAGTTCTTACTGTAACTATTCCAGCTGACACATGGCCCATCCTTTTTGTCAGAGCCAATTCTGACCGTAAGTATTCCAGCTGCTGCCACATGGCCCGATCTTTTGCTGCCATATCTAATTATTGGTTTTTACGGTAGCTACTGTAGCTACTCCAGCTGCTGCTACATGACTGATCTTTTTCTGCTACATCTAACTATTGGTTCTTAAGGCAGCAACTCGAGTGGGTATTTGATTGGTGCACTTTCTTTCGGTTGAGTTTGAGAATCTTTGTTCTTGGTTGTTTCTTCTTCCAATGTGATATCTGCCACGAGTGGTTAACTGACGAACTAATTTTTTATCTTTGATTTCTCAATTTATTCCAATTCCAATATGCTAAGAGCCTATTGAAAAGTCATAGCATCATTCAGGATAAGTTCTATGTGAAGAATTGTTTAAATTCACAGCTTGTTTGTTTTGGATTTTTGTCAATCTGATGCTTTTAAATGATTTTTTCCCTTGGCTTTGTTGTCTAAGGTATAATTTTTTTATATTGCAGGTCCAAAATTTGGAATTTTTCTTCGGTCCTTTCTGAGAACTACTCCAGATTTTAGCAGCAGGACCCAACACCGTATCCAGCCTACTTTGCGTAAAATTAATGAGTAGTTTGATTGTGTCTTCTTCTGTTCATGTGTATTTTATTACGGTTTGTATTCTAAATGCTATACCCCTTTTCCTTTGTTCTTTGCAGAAGAGGTTCCCTCGGACTTTACCACTTTTTTCTTTCCTATTATTACAGGTTCTTTGCTTTCTTTTTCTTTTCAAAATTTCAATTGTTATTCCTTAAATTGTTCATTTGTGGTGACTAAGAGTAGAGTTTCAGTGAGCAGAGTGCTACTTGTTTTCCTAAAATTGTGGCATTCAAACAAATTAATATTTTATGTACTGCATTTATGGCATGTAGTCATTGAGACAAATCGTATTTACTCATTAGTGATGTTGGTATCTTCTTGATTTTGAATGCGAGTGAATATGGCGTAGTTTGATGGTTTCTTGACAATGAATACTGAATTTTCTCAACTCCTTTTCAGTTGCCTGAGCTCCTATTTTGTTCCCTTTACGTTTCAGTTAGTTTTGAAACGATTAACCTTCTTCGTTCTTGATCTGGCTTTCAATTGTTAAACTATTGTGTGATCCTTTTTTCTTTCAACCTTTTTTATCATTCTTCCCCCATAATGGCTACTAAAGCACTTACGAGCGAGGCAATTTTTCTCACAGAAAAGAAAATGGATATGACTTTAAGTTGTGCATGTTAGCAATTCTACCCCGCATTGTCATGTAGTTGTTTGATCAAACGTATACAAGGGATTCGAATGTTATTAACCTTCATATCTTATATGTAAAATTTAGTACTAGAAAATTGCAATTTATACTCCTTTATTTCCTCACTAAACAATTTATATCAGGTTAGACGAAAAATGTAAAATGGAACTTAATTGGCCAATGGAATGAGACGAATCTTAACATGAGAAAGAACACGCATATAAGGCATGTTGATGATTGCAAATTGATAGAGCAACTTTGTATCTTCAACCAGATGTTACCAAAGGTACCTTTAAATTTGGTAATATAACACTTCCTAGCGTTTGTCTGGTTGTAAGACTTATTTTGGCTTTCTTGATTCTCATTGTATGATCCTAGTAATTAACTCTACGACACAATTCTTTGGAAGTTGTTGCTAAGGTTAAATTTGTTTATTCTTTCATTTACCAATCACCCAATAGCCTGAGACATTGGACCTTTCCCATCAGTCAATGCAGACATGACAAGTCTGGGGTCTTCGGAGTTATTCACTTTTTCTTGTTTTATTTGACTTTATTCCATATTGGTGTAAAACTTTTTTGGTAGTGAAAAGATATTGAAATTGTGAGGTTGCTTGCACAAAAGACCAAAAAAGTTCTGGGAATGAATATTGATTTATTTCAAGGGAGGCAACTTGTCAAAATTTTATGCGTCTATTCATCTTCAAACAAATGGTTGGCCTTGCTTTAGCTGAAATAGAGATTGTCAGTGATAATTTGTTGCAAAATCGCAATGTAAAATGTTATTCAAAAAAGATGTTGTTACGATGATGTTGGATTGCACGAGGCCCCTGCAAAAAAATAAAAAATTAAGAAGGTTATTTTGAAGATGACGTTACTAGATTTGGGATATTTGCGAGGATTGGTCATCCCTTGAGAGAAATTTTATTGCTATATTCTTGTCTTTAGCAACATTTTTCTCTCTGTACTATGAAAACACTGCCATCTCATTCACTTATATTTTAATGGAAGATATTTGCCGTTATTGACCTTTTGAGGACAGAAAAGTTTAGAAGATGTATAATCAATGTTTTAAAAACCGGACCGTTAATCGAACCGGTGAAGTGAAAGGGTCGAGGTTCAACCGGTCGGACCGGTTCAACCTCGGTTCAATGAATTTTTTAAAAAATAATTTATATAAATATATATGTGCACAAAATAAGACATGTAATGGATAATTTAATACTTTATATGATGAAAAGTTTACTATTTTTGAATAACTTGGATTTTTAAAAATAAGTTTTTTAAATTATACGTTAAAACAAATAAATTTCATCTCAATTTCAATTATATCTACCAAAAAAATCTTAAATATAATCCAAAAATCACAATATTTGAAATTATAAAAAATTCACGTCTATGAGAATTTAGACATTGTGAACTTAAATTTTAATTTACATTTTGGAATTTAAATTTACAATTTAAAAAAGGAAGTCTGGAGTTCGAAGAAAATCAAGAGAATTGAAAATAGAAATGCAAATTTGATAAGAAACAAAAAATGAGATAAAAGTGAGTGGTTGTGGTATTAAATAAATTGGGTTAAAGAAAAATAATTCTTTTTTAACTTTTTTAAATTTAATGGACAAAAACAAAATTAAAATATGGAAGAAAACATCAATAAATTAAAAATAAAGAGGTTTGATTAAAAATGAGTGGCAAAAGAAAAGATGATAGAGAGAGAGTGTGTGTGTGTGTGTATTGAAGATTAAAAAGAAAGAGTCATGAAAGGATGATATTTTGTAAAAAAAATGGAACAAAAGAAATATGAGTGTTTGTTTTATATAAATAAGTTATCAAAACAAACTAATAAGATGTGATAGTGCAACGGTTACTACATTGGTCTTCTATTACAAAGGTCTTGAGTTCGAATCTTGGTAACTACATTTTGCAAAAAAAAAAAAAAAAAAAAAAAGGAAAACTCAAAAACCGGAAATAACCGGTTCACATCCGGTTCAGCGGTTTGGCGGTCCGACCGGTTTTTGACCGGTTTCTTGACAAAGTCAAACCTGGCATTGAACCGGACCGGAGCCATGGCCGGTTCGCGGTTCAACCGGTCGAACCGGCCGGTCCGGTCCGGTTTTCAAAACACTGTGTATAATCGTCTGTCTTTCTATATAAGAAAGGTATATTCCTCTAATTTCCATGTTTCTTTTAATTATTATTTTATGGTGATTGTATTTTTTTCAATCCACTTTTCTTCCCCATTGTGTACTTGACTCAGCAAAAAAAAAAAAAAAAAAAAATTAAATTCTAATTTAATTTGCATTATATGCCATGCAAAGTTTCTTTGCTTGCTATCCTTACAGCCAGATGGGTTTGTTTGGATTGTAAGTTATTTGAGATATTTTTACTGTAGCACTTTTTGTAATGTGATGTATGTGAGATGAAAAAATAATTGAGAAAGTAAAAAGGTGTATTGGAAATTGTAATGATGATGTAAGCAAATATACTTGGGGAAATAAAGATCAATCCAAACAAACATGAATTCAAATAATATTTCGCTTGCATCATAAACACATTTTTCAATTCACCTTTTTTTTATTCTCAATCAACTTTTTATCTTACATACATCACATCACAAAAAGTGCTACAGTAATTATTCCAAATAATATTTCAAATAACACTCTATCCAAACAAATGTGACAAAAGAGCTGTTTCTGTTCCCACTGAGGTTGCTATGTCTGCTTTGTATTTCATTTTTCATTTTTCTGCTACGAACAGAAACAAGTTATAGTAGTATATTTCAAACTGATCGTGACTTTTCATAGTTGATTTACGTTTTCCAAAGGTTGGCTTTTCGTAGTTAATAAGCATGCAACACAATTATGGGTATAATTATCGTTAACCTTCAACTGATTATCTTATGAATGGTTATATACACTTATTCATACAGCACCCCAACCAAAAAGGAAAAAAAAAAAAAGGACTTTGTGCAGGATATTTTTATTTCAACGTCTCATAGGCATTGTTTATCAGATTTTTTGAAAGTGCCCTGTCTAAGGTCATCTTAAAAACTATCTCAATGGTTCTTATTCTTGGAACCTTGAACCCTGATTCCAAAAGGGTTGTTGATGAGGATTGATCGTATATAAGTAACTGGATAATTTTTTTTTTTTAATTTTAACAAACTTGCGTGATGATGAAGCAAAACAAAAATCACAGGCGTTCTGTTTATCCATAGCCATCAATGTGCATGTATGAACCATATTGCAGCTTTAATTGAAACTCTAAGTTCTATGCCAAACACAATAGCTATGGCTAAAGAACTCTATTTTAACCATAATGGCTCAGCATTGGAGGAGTTTTTGGTTTACATCTATTACTTATTTCTTGTATAATATTTTTAAGTGGCGAATGATCAGTAAAGTTTTCTTGTTAATTGTGCAGGCCTGTGTAGACTTCGTGGCAGAGGTAGTTGGAGTAACTTCGGGGCCAAAAGGAAGAATTTTGGTGTTGCTGATTAAATTACCTCCCAAGATTGTTAATGGTATTGAAAGTGTTTTAAAAAGGTAACAAGTCTTACATGGTATGTCAGCCTATCTGCTATGTACAAGCAATATTAGTGCTGAAATTGCTAGCAAGTTTGTTGTTTTTTTTACTAAGAAACAATCAAAGCATTTGCACACAGCATCACAAATATCGACGTAATAACATTCCTCGCGTCAAAAGGGTTCTAAAAAAAACACCTGGTTCATTAACTTTAAAAAGAACCACAGAACCAGTAAACTCTGTTCTTGTTTTACACGAAGTTTGAACTTCAATAATTACTTCAGTGGTTTCAATAAGGATTCCCAAAAAGAATGAGAAAATTACCGTCATGTAAATGGGTCCCTTATATCCACATACTTCAGTGAAATAAGGAAGTGCACCAATATGATCCAAGTGGCTGCATAACCCAAATTCAGTTACTCACTAACCAGCAACTCACACACAAAAACACCCCCAGGACTAACAAAGTAAATCATACAAATGTGTGATAATGATGCAACTGAGGGAGCTAGTAAAATCTTCAGCAGCATTGCGAGGGGTCAGTGAGAAGTCAGGATATCGATGGTGATCCAGATATCCCATATGCATCCCACAATCAAACATTATTCTCTTGCTGATTATAGTCACCGCCACGCAGCTTTTTCCCACCTCTTGCCCTGCCCCTGATCATCATCACAAAAACCAAATTCAGACTATATAAACCCACAAAACTTCATAACATCAACAACCATTAAGGGTCACTTTTTTCCTCATTGGCATTTTATCAAATGAGCTCTGTACAAAACAATATAACAGCGCCAGGAACCATTATACTAACGGTCATTCACATGACTGCAGGTTGAGTCAGAAAAGTACCTAAAACGAGGCATTCAATCGCCATTCTAGGTGGGTTTATTCTTGCTCTTGCAACACCAGCAGAGTTCTGCAAAACTTATAAGCAAAATGCCAAAACCAACTGAAGTTCGACTTAACCGGAAAACCAGGATGAATTTGAAACAGCTAAAATTCATGAACCATACTGCCATGCACCCAATCACAAAACCAAGTAAAAGAAATTGTTGGCGAATTGGTTTTACATTTGTGATTCTAGTACTTTGCATCAACGTATTCTGTTCCACTTTGTATCGATCATGCAACTGTTTTAGATTGTGATTCGACTATCTTAAATTTAAAAGTAATTTTCTCCATTTAATATATAGCAGGTGAAAACTAAAAAAATATCCTCCATATTCGCTTTATAGGACTTTTGTTGTTCTAATCTTCTATTAATATAAGGATTAATCTTTCCTACACTGACAGTATATACACCATCAGATTGAATGAATGACAATTATACAAAATTTGAATTTAAAATTCAATTTTGGTACATGTATCATAAATCCAATAATGATAGTATATACAATATGTATATAAAATTTACTCTTGATATAATTGAAAAAGTTACGAGTAATCTAATTGTTTTATATTTTAGAGTAGTAGTATTTTAATTAAAGTCATTTTCCCATTTAAAAATTGCTCTTCTCCACTTATGAAAATATCTCCAATAAATATTGCTCTTTAACATTGAAAAGTAACTTAAAATCAATATAATTGGAAAAAATTTACGAGTACACTAATTGTTTTATGCAGTATTTTAAATCAAATTAATTTTTCACTTAGAATAATTATTGATCGGAAAAGGTCCACAAGTAGACCAACTGTTCTAAGTTGCAATTTGATTGTTTTAAATTGAAGTTCTTTCCCATAATCAAGTCGCCAAAAACTGGCCATATGTTTTCATTCATTGTAAAAAGAAGGATTTCTACTAGTCTAATGTACTGAAATAATCCACTTGTACTCCAATTGTTTTAGATGCGGTCCCAGTATTTGCAACCCACTGATTTACGCTCTCTCGTCTTGAATGAGCAGCAAACAGCAATTAATTGCACCGTCAAAACAGAGTCTCAAGCATTACAGGCTTTGCAGGCAGTTCAGCACAAACATTTGGCGCAAGATTATACCTTTCTTGACAGAATTCCAATCAACTGCTATCTGCAATCATGTAACATGTACTTCTGATTGCATCCATCATCTGAGAGTAGGCCTCTCATTCTCATCTCATCAATTAAACATGAAATAGCAGGTTGATTGCCCTCCTTAGCATATCCTCTAATTAATATATCATAAACTACATGATTAGGCCTCATTCCCTTTTTCAACATGTCATCAAACACTTGTTTTGCTTCAATCATGAATCCTTTGTTGGTTAATCCAAAAATCAAGGAACTGTATGCAAACAAATTAGGCGGAATACCCTCTTTAACCATCTGTTTCTGAAGCCTGAATGCTTCTACAAGGTTTCCTTGCTTGCAAAGCCCTGCAATCCAAGTAGTGTAAAAATACTTGTTAGGAACAAATCCAGCGTCGGTCATTTCTCTATAGACCATCTCAACTTGGCTCAATTCCCCCTCCTTGCACATGCCATGAATTAGGACATTGTATGAAATTTCATCAGCATTTTCTTTACTAAAATGCAGTTTTGCTTCGTCAAGACGCCCATTCTTGCAGAGGCCATCTATTAAGGATGTAAGAGTAACAACATCGGGTTGAAAACCTCGAGCCAGCGATTCCTCGTATTCATTCATTGCTGCTTCCACATTTCCAGCCTTGAAATAAGCATGCATAAGAGTAGCAAATATGACTCCATCAGGTGCCACTCCGTGATCCGTCATAACTTTTTTAACTTCAACTGCACTATCCAGCCTATTCATATTGCATAGCCCGGATATAATAACCCCATAAGTAGTGACATCAAGCCTAATACCCTGATCATGCATTCTGCTCAAGTACTTCAGAGAATTATCTACATTCTTTTTCTTGAATTCCCCATCAATCATACTAGTATATACAACAGTATTAGGTTCAACCCCACCTTCCGACATCCTCGAAAACAAGTAAGTAGCCTTTTCCAGCATCCCCCATTTACAAAAACCATCAATTAGAGCTGAATCAGTAACCACATTTGGAAAAACTGAATTCCTGCGCATATCCATGTATAATCCCAGTGCAACTTCCAATTCACCAGCCTTACAATATCCATCAATCAAAGAAGTAAAGATTTGTAAATTTGGGAAAACCCCACTACTCTTCATATCCTTAAACACCCTATAAGCCATATTAACGTTATTCATTTTACAATACATGTCAACAAGTATACCATAAGTTACAACATTTGGTACACAAACTTTCCACATCAAACTCATATACACAAGCAACCCTTCAACCTTTCCAACCTTACAAAACCCATTAAACATTGCGTTAAAAGTAGCCAAATCAGGCCTAACATTCATCAGCCCACTACAAACTTTCCTCATCATAAAACAAGCATCACCAACATCAGCATTTCTCAAGTACCCATCAATCAGAGAATTGTAACTAACTATATCAGGCAAACAACCAAGTTTTGGCATCAAATTTATCAACTTTTGAGCAGAACCAGGAAATCCTAGATTGCAGAAGTATGAAATGACGGAGTTAAAAGCTGAGACATGAGGAAAGTAGCCTTTTGAAATAAAGGTAACAAGGAGTTTCAATGAGAGGTCGCCGCAGTTGGACCGTGTGAGGCTGTGGAGAGACTTGTTGAAGTCATGGCGGTCCGGAAACTTTCTTGAGGCTTTGAATCTTTGAAGACTATAAGCGAAGAATTTCAAAGCCTCTTTAGTCATGAGAATAAGATAAAATCTCGCTTCGGAATTTTGTCGAACATGTTGTGAGTACTATATGCACAGTTCATTCGCTTCACTGCAGACGAAAGGCCCTTCCGTGCTCCTTATTATAAGTTTACCGCGGCGGCAAAAGTTGGGTATAATATGCCAATATTATTGCCCTTGAAGACGAGAATCCAACAGCATTATACCAATCACGCCTTCAGGTGCCCCAACCCCAACCGTTTCGTTCACATCAATTAGGCCTTCAGTTTCCATTTAGTAAACGTATCCACTTAAAGAACCCATTTAGTAAGGCCCATTTCGGTGATGATCAAAAATTTAAAAACAATTTTAAAAAAAAAAGAAATAAAAATAGACAGTTTAATCTTTAAGGTATTGCTTCCAGAATTGCAGTGATTTCTACACTTGCCCTATTCAGTTTGAATCTTGATTTAGCGGATTGCAATTGGCAAGTGCATACGGGTTAAATTTGGAATGATCATCACTTAAAAGTCAAGTCTGAAATCTGGTTTGTGGATGTATCATGTATGAAAAGCAAATGGATGCGCATGGCTAAAGCAATAAACTATAACAACATAACATTCACTTATAGTTCCATAATACTTTAAAGAAGACAAGATAATACTTTTTTGTATCTTAAAAAGAATCTATATCCACAATAAATCACAATGAAAAGTATCCTATCATAGCAAAAGATTTATTATTGATTATAAAATAACAAATATTGGTATGAAAAACTTAACACTCGTTCCCTTTATAATTGTGCCAAATTACTTTACAATTGTTTAGAAAAATAAATTAAATTTTATAAGATAAGATCATTTTAGGGTATTCATTAAAATTTTGACCCTATTTTAAGGTTTAGTTACCGAACTGTCAAATTAAGGGAAATGAGTGTAATTTTCAGAACTTTGGGGAACTGAGTGAAATGGTTAAAAACTTCAAGAGAGTTTTCTGAAATTATTCCTAATACATATCCTAGAACCTGCCGACATGGCTCTAACTGTTAATTGAACTAGCAAGATTTCATAAACTAGCATTATATTCTAGCTCAAAGGGGTCTTGATGGAAGGTTTCGAAATCCACTAAATCGACTTAACATCTGAGTCACCAATCACCATTGTGTATTTGATGTCGAGCAGTGCACCGCATTAGCTTTTCATCATGATTCTTCCTAAGTCATATGACCGAGAAAATGATTGCCAAACATATAACCAAACAAAAATATTTAGTTCTTAAAGTGAAAACTTATAGCATAAATACTTCTTATATATATATAAATACAACAAACCTATTAGTGGAATATGTCAGATACATACAGTTTAATCCAAACACACACTGCTAAAATTGAGACCTCAAAATTTAAGGAATTTTGGTTCAAATCTCCCTTCTCATGCTCTGCTCCTTAAATCCAACACCTCTCTTGATAAGAAAAATTTTTTGAAAAAAAAAAAAAAGTGCGCACACGAACACACATCTGGTGTATACTTGGTCGTTTCAGTAAACCTAGCATTTGATTTAATGTCTTGCTTAAGAAATTAACACTTTTAGAGTAGAGTCTCTTTAAACCTGATCAACAAAGGCTACAAACTTACTTTAAATAAATATACTTGCATCAGGCAAGAAGCATGAGTGAAGATACTCAAGCTGCTTGAAACTAGTGCTCTAAACAAATGGAGTTTTGCACCAGTTTTGTTGATAGGTCCAAGTTTGGGATAACCATAAATCTTATAACTGTGCATGCAAATTTGAGCTACTTCAACTGAACTTGAGAAATTCATTCGACCAAGCTAATATTAGCCAAATTAAGATAAAATATCTAACATCAGTCAAGAAATCAAGTCATTTGCCTCTTTGTTTTTTTAATCTTTTTTCCTTCTTTTCAGCCTAATATAAAGAGACTACTTCCAACAAGACAGCAAGTTTTGTTATTTATTTTTAAAAAATAATATTTTATACGAACACAACTTTATTCAACAGAAGTAAAGTAAAAAGATTGTCCATCTCTCTCATTTTTTAACTATTCCTATGTGTTTTTGGCATGGACATCTCGAGCTTATTCAACCAGCTTTTCATAGCTGCACTGCTTTGCTGCACCTTTTTTGGTAATGTTGCAAGTTTGCAGCCTACCCAAGATCATATTAAGCACTTATCCACAATTCCTGGATGTCATAAAACTTCAAACAGAAACCAGTTTCTGTTGTTCTTCTAGAACAAAAATACAAATGTTAAATAGAAAATTTAATAGTAGTTATAACAATAACTATAACAATTATAAAATTAACTATAATAAAATAGTTAAAATGATAATATAATAATGCTCAAATGTGGAGGGTTGAAATACAGATATCTCATTTTCTTTAAAGTGATTCAATACTTTGCGAAAGAACCAATTTCGGTGTAGTAGAATC